CCCCTTTTCCGCGGACGGGAGCGGGGCGGGAAGCGCTGCAAACCGGGTAGGGAGAGATGCCGGGGGGGTCGGAGACTGTAGCGACTTTTTATCGGTGAAGCCGATGCAGAACTAGCGCAGAGATCATCGAGACAGCAGTGTCAGGCAATGCTGCAGAAGCAAAGCGGCATCCTTCTCGCCGGAGGATTTTCGCGTTTCCTGCAGGCTGTGTGCGGCTTTCTTAATCTGTATTAAAACGATGCTGACGATAATACCTGAAAAAATCTGCTTATTGTTGCAGATGGGCCAGAAAGCTGAGGGAGATCTTTTACGTAATTAATTGCTCGAGGTGTTTCGGGAACACCGCTTGTAACTTCAGCGGGCTTGCAGACAGAAACAGCCCTTAGATAAAGCCTGCCCTTCCCTTGCTCGTTCTTTACCCTCAGCTCCGTATTTGTGTTGGGGGGGGGGGGGGGAACACAAAACACGTCTTATTAATGCCGTGGTTTTAATACAAACATGAACCTGTCTTCAGAAGTTGACATCACTGAGGAATCAGCCAATTGGTTGACGTTTAACCAACCTTCTTTTTACACATAAACCCCATCAAAGAGTTGTTTACACTAATGTTCTTTTGAAATGCAAATCCAGAATGCCAACAGACTGAAACTCAATTTAGATTAATGTAATTACCTGCAATACACAAATGAGGCTATACTATTTAATAGCTTTCACGTAAACCTTTTTAGAAGATCAAAAAGTCTCCTATTGTTGAAGTTTAGTCCTACAACAATTAAAGGATGCCTCTGTGTGATTTTCGTGTTACCTTTGTAACTTTCTAGAAACTTGTGGGTTTGCTTCGGTGCTCTGAAATAAAAATATCTGAAATAATTAGAATTCACATCGAACAAGTGTAACTACTTTGTGGCACGTTAGGTGCACATCTCACAGGGAGGTCTTTTGCTGCTTTCTTGTTAGAATATTCTTTTTCTTCAGAAAAATGATTGTCTCTCACTTTGTTTTAGGCTTTAAAGAAATCAATGCTCCGACTATTACCCCGCCTCTCAATCAGCCCAAAAGATCAAAAAAACGCCATGCAAATTTGACATTGGATAAAATGATGGAAAAATTCCTGCAGCAGAGCGTGGATACAGAAGAGAAATTTTACAGATATGAAGAGCAGAGGCTCAAAATTGAGGACAAGCGTCGGGAAGCTGAGCATGCTCGAGAGCTCCAGATGTTACAGATGTTGGGACAGATGTTGGCAGGAATTTCTTCTACGGTATCACAAAGGTCACAGTCTATACCAGCGAGTCCACCTCAGAGAGCGAACCATCGTTCATACGGGGATAACTTTAATTATAATGCTATGACAACAGCACTTTCTCCACCGATAGGTACTTTCTTCTATAGCGTAAATAAAAGCTAGGGTTTTTTTAAACTTCTGTGTGAAAGCACTGGTAGTAAGTAGCTTTTGAAAATAAAAGCTAATTGGAATTATGTAATACTGTGGTGAAGGTGTCTGTCTGATGTATAATGAACTGAAAACGTCATTTGTACCATTGTACTGATTATTTATTATAGATACATTAGTTAAATTTTAATGAGCAAAATCACACCTTTCAAACCTTGTAAACATTGGGGACTTCTTTCCACATTCACATCTCTGTAAAGTGAAGTTAGGAGAAGCGTTGTATATAAAAGGCAAGTAGCACGTTTGCCGAGAACTGTCTGGAAACACTAGGTACCTTGTAGCGGAAATTCTGCTGCTGTTGAAGTTAGCAGGCCTAACCCACTATATGAAGTTAAGGCAGTGCATATGTTTTTTCAGGGTTGGGAAAAGAGTGGAGTTTTGCCTACACTGAAGTAAGTCAAATGTTAAAATCCAGCTTCTTTTAAAAAAAAATTCTGAATCTTACCTTTTAATTAATCATTATATTATTGTAGTAGGTGTAATAGAAGATGAAAATATTAGCATATATTTTTCTTCTACACCAGTTCATTTATAAATTCTTTGTGTTTCTGAATTTATTTTAAAGAAAAAGGCAAAGCAATAACTCTGGAATTGGTGTTTATGAGTAGAATTTCCCTTCCGTACCTTATGTGTGGGCCAGAAGCCGATAATCGGATATTAGCGTTGATTAACAGACTTCTCGGGATCTGTGGCTCCATGTCATTTGTCTTTATTATAGTCTTTATGTACGTGGAGGCAGACTGCATGGGCAGGAGGAGAACGGGGATACTCTGTCAGCGCTGAAACGAGTCAGCGTGGGGCTTGGTGACTGTAGCCTGCTGCGTGGAAACGAAAGAGGTCTCGTTTTGTTTTAATTCCAAATTTCACACTGCTCAGAAGCAAAAAGCATGGTTTGTGGAGAGAAAAGAACACCCAGCCTCAGTGTTGAGCAGTAATCAGGCATGCCAGATCCTAAAGGGCATTCTTTAACATTTTGGTTACAGGAAATACTAAAATGTTCTGTTAACTACTGTGTACCTATTTAATCAGGCAATGCTGCAGAAGCAAAGCGGCATCCTTCTCGCAGTGTCAGGCAATGCTGCAGAAGCAAAGCGGCATCCTTCTCGCCGGAGGATTTTCGCGTTTCCTGCAGGCTGTGTGCGGCTTTCTTAATCTGTATTAAAACGATGCTGACGATAATAGCTGAAAAAATCTGCTTATTGTTGCAGATGGGCCAGAAAGCTGAGGGAGATCTTTTACGTAATTAATTGCTCGAGGTGTTTCGGGAACACCGCTTGTAACTTCAGCGGGCTTGCAGACAGAAACAGCCCTTAGATAAAGCCTGCCCTTCCCTTGCTCGTTCTTTACCCTCAGCTCCGTCTTTGTG